TATTATTGTTATTGTCTATTGTCGTTGTTTTTTTTTTTTTTTTTTTTTTTTTTTTTTCGTTAGTGACGTGGACGTTGCATAAGATTGACAACAGTGGTCTGGCGTAGAGGATTGTGGCGATGCCTTGCATAACTGGTGAGCCAGCTGGGCCAGCTTGTCTATTACCGATTCTTTTGATGCTTTGTGAGTCTGACGGAAATTTGTTTCACGACCTTATTACCGGATAGGCGAAGAGATTGAATGGAAATGGAAAGCCAAAAAAAAAAAAGATGCGGAATTGTCAAGACGAAGTAACAGGTCTGAAACATCGGGAGGATATGAACTAGATTTCAAAAGAGAAGGCGGAGATGTTATCCAGAGAGGAGTATGAACCTTGTGATGTGCGTAGCAGACGACTAGCCAAGATCGGGAGCCGCCGCTTAGCCCGCGCAGCCCGTCATTGGGCCGAGTAGTTGTTGCTGTGTAGCGGATAATGCTCTGGATATGACGCTGTCCAACGTGGACTATAGAGACAATTGTTTGACGGCTGCAGTTGCGGTACCTGACTTGGTGTTTAGGTGCGTATCCTTTTCATACAGACGGAAAGCTTACTCATGTTGGCGTTCAGGAGCAGATTCGACAGATGCAACAACTCACCACATTCTGGTTTGCGCCCTGGTGCTAAAACGGCCCGTTCGTAAGGCCGCGATCAGGTCAAAATAAAATGATATAAAACGCCGGAGCCTGCACAATCTACATGTCGGCCTGGGACAGCCGCCCCGTATGCCTCTAGATGACATGAGGCAAGGCAGGCCATTGTTTTAGGTCAGCCCTGCCAGCAAGGCACTCCTGCACGCCCGTTTTTAGGGCTACCAAAAACCACAACAGTTCATTGGCCACGACTTGCGTACGCTGTACGTTTCGCTGGCGAACGGCCGTGACAAAAGGAACAGTTTCGCTGTGGCTAGGCAGGCACCGGTAAAGACAATGGCCGCTCCATTGTATGACCTGCAGGTCGTTGAAACCCAAAAGAAGATTCCACTAGCCGAAGAACAAAGGGCGCACCAAGCATGGAGGTATTTTATGCATTGGGCTTGGCGGAATGATGTCCAACGACGACCAACAGCTAGCCGAGAGAAAGAATGGTCCAGCTGGCGGAGTTCGTGCCGAAGGGCGGTCTCGAGTGGGCCAACAAGTCGAATTTGGGTCTTCTCTTATTTGTCTAGTCAAAAGGATGCCTCAACATTATTCCTAAAAAGGTGATTACCTCAGTAAATAGCTACTGGAGTTATGTGCACACTCCTTCGAATTGCGGGACAAAACACACCTGGCCATGACGAGATGCCGTTGTGTCTCGAAATCGTGTTGGAGGCACGATTCCTTGCGTGCATCAATGCCAGTTGAAGGCAACACAAGGGTGAGAGAGAGGCGATTGCATAGAAAAAAGACAACGGACGACAAAGGAAGACAAGGAGAAGAAAGGAAGGACGGCTAAAAAGAAGGGAAATGGCGTATCGCTACATCACGAGAGCGAAAGGCAGCATATTCGTGGCCATGTTCTTCTGAGGGCAAGGGTGGCATGGACAACGATGGGTGGTGCGGTGAGGTCAAAGCAAGTTGCAGGGAGGGTTTGTTCTGATCGCAGGTGAAGACAAGAGATGAAGACAGGTTGAAAATGTTGGGAAGCACAAAAATTTGGGACACAGCAGAAATGCAATGTATGGGCGAACAAATGCGGCAATGCCAGATTGGGAAGAAGACGAGAAGAGGCAAGTGCGACCTGACAAGAGGAGGAAGGCACGACCAGAGAGTTATGGACATAAGTAGAGGCAGGTGACAGATCTCTGGACTTGGCAGGTGCGACCATCTTTTCTATCCAGATGCACAAAAATGTGTGCAGGCGACCTGTCGTGCCTTCCCCCTCTTCGACCAAGTTGCACGACAGTGATACCTACGGCCAATTGATGCTATCTCGAACATGCACAGCACGTCTTTCTTCTTGACCAAAAGCCGCATCGCACATACGCATGCACGGCCATGAGAGGTGAGTGGTAACAGTATGACAACGGCAGCGCCAGCTCATACTAGCAAGGACAGGAACATGGACAAGGGCCATATCAGGGCCGCACAGAAACGTTCGAGAAGCCAGATACTTTACACAAAAAGGAACAAGAAATAAATGTCAGCTGGCCTCCACATCGGCACTTTCACTGGACGAAGGAATGAAGCTTGGCTCGCCTGGCTGCCGAGAGACTGCCCGAACTCAGACAATGCGAGATGGATGGGCCGCGGAGAAAAAGACAGGAAAGGAACCTCAGACGACGTGGGCAGTCCAACCAGCTTGCTTTGTTGCACCACCATTTACCCGCGGTATACTGTTCCGCTTCGCTAAATCGAGTCAGTCGCACATTCCGGAGACGAAACGGTCTGGGAGGTCTAGGGAAAGCATGAAAAGACAATGGATGGACACAACAGCGAGCGATCAGAGGCCGCAAGGCCGTGCCACGAAGTCGAACAAATCGCCCGACCTTTATTGCACAGCATGTGAGAGACTATAAGTGGGAACGCAACGAAAGAATTACGAGCAGTAGCTAGAAGGGATAGCCCGAGTGAGATGAACGTTTGTGTTTTGTGCATCGAAAAATGACAGGCAAAACGCATGCTGAGCAACCTCTCACAACAGAGTTTACAAAGGAAACAGATACCAAGACGTTCTGCAGAGTACGACGGCGTTGAAGGATCTACGTCTACGGACGAGACTTTGAGGCTACATGCAAACGAACAGCTTGGAGCAACATCATCCCATCAAAATGACCGGCGATGCCGTCTACGGCCGGCCGTGGTCCCAAGCGGCACATGTTATGGCCTCAGAAGTTAAACAGTAGCTCATTTTGCTAAACACCAATCAAGTCGGTATCTGGGGCAAAGCTGGGAAACGCTGAGTTTGCCTCTTTGGTCTCATGTTTCGGTCCCATTGCAATAGCCCACTCAATAAGGTACATCATCACAGCCAGTTCTGGCTAACAACCCTTTCCCAAATGCTCTCAAATTAAGAAACTGGATGGACAGAGTAGGTTAAGAGCGCAGGCGCATACTTCGACGAGGCCCTGCTGTGGTCGCCTCCAAGGCGGCATGATCTTTGTTGTCACCCGTCCTTATCCGTCTAGACTGCCGCTCGGCTATGACCTGACCTTGTTCTTGATCCTGGTCCTCGTCCTGGTCTTGGTTTTCAACGTCACCACGCCGTCTTTTGTGCCCGACTCCGACGTCCTGCTTCGTCGTCTTTTTCTTGGACATTTCAGCCTCCATCAAACGCGCTTCATTGATAGCCCACTGCACTCGTCGCCGTTAGCGACGGACAATCGCCTCTGTACGCCTATATAGTATTGTCTCTCAGATGAAAATGCCAAAGGTATCGTTCGTACTTTTTCTTGGAGCCCATAGGATACGTTCACCGTCGTGGAACAACTCTTGCTGGTATTCTACTTCATTTGGGTCGATCGTGACTTCAAAGCCAATCTCTGCCTTTGGTCATAGCCCATCACTCCCTTCGGTAAATCCTGTACGGCCACGAGCAGCTTCTTCCAGGCTTTACTGTATCGCGGTTTCTTCGCCTCTAGGGCTCTGGTGGATTTCTCAACCCACCACTGTTCAAAGTTGAGATACTCAAAGCCAGGTCGTCCACTCCGTTTGCTGGCGAGGGTCCTTTCGTAGTTGCAAGGACCGGCTGAAGTTGTGGGACGCGAGGCGTCTCTTGAGAGCCGCGGTGTATGTGGAGAATGTTTGGTCTTCACCGCATTGCCGAAGGTCTGGCTTCAGCTGCCATAACCGTCTTGTATCCACTTCGAACATGGGATGGGCTACCTCCCGGTGTGCGTCCATCCGCTCGCACATTTCCCGTTGTGCCTCGAGGAAGACAGGGAATCCTCCATCGCCATTGGGGTCCCCGCGCTGGCTGCATTGCCACTTTTGAAAGTCACACCAGCGTTCACATTGCCTCGAGAACCTCGTTTCTACCTGTCCGATTCGGTTTACGGAGTCTGAATCAGTAAACCAGGGCAGCATGGCAGTGATGCTCGCTGCAGAGCCCGAGTCATCCAGAATTTGCAACAGCCCCTCGATCGAGCAGACCGCCCGGCCGCCCAGTTTGTGGAGCACATGGTATGTTCAGACGGGAAAATGGCGCGCCCACGTTTACCGGTTGCGATGTGGCGGTCGCAGCATCGCCAGCATCCCTGCCAACAATTATGCATTAGTGGAGTCTATGAAATGGGAAAGTGAGTACGAACTAGTATAGTAGTAATACTGCGTAGCAGTAAGAGGTAGAGTACAAACGCTTCTTACCTTAGCCCACGCAGCAGCTCGTCGCTTTGCGTCTCGGAGAGCTTCTCCAAGCCAGTAATGTTTGAGATGTTAAACACCCCATTACCGGAGCCGCTGCTCTTAATGTACTCGACTAGCTCGCTCATTTCGACGTCCAGAAGATATGCGGCCGCGAAGACACACAGCGAGACTCGTCGAATGACATTTTGAGTCGGAATATGCGATGTCGCGTGGGATGCAGATCGGACGAGGGACAATATGGCAGAGGTCGCGGAGGTGAATGAATGAACGAGGGCAAGTTCGCGCAAGAGGGCGCAAGACTGATGTTGGCAACAGAGCAACACGAGGCCAAAACATGGAGCCATCTATTGATTTGGCCTGGCGACATCATCCTCGCCCCACTTCAAATAGCTCGTCTGTTAGCAGTGGCGGTTAAAGGCAAAGACAGCACCTGATTGGCCAACTAAGGCCTAAAAGACCACTAGAGTTCGGTCCGGCCCGTAAACATTGGACTTTTCGGGCAGTTCACTCGCTATCTCATGGGTCAGTGATTGATAGAGTTTCCTAAACGGGCCTTACAGTATGGCGTTCGACATATTATATCCACGATATACAAAGCACAGGATTTCTCTTATCCGCTAAATTCTGCCTTCCTAACCCATAGACAACCGAGGCCGTTTTTCTCCGTTTACTGGTCGCAGCATCTTTGAAAATGTGCCTTGCGTGGCCTCGCCTCCTGAAGCCGACTCTGAGAGCGACTAGTGGACTTCCAGCAGAGAGGTCCCACTTCCAGGGCGTGTCCTTTTGCGGGCTGACCGAGGCGTTGCTTCTCTAACTGGTGATGTCAGCGTGACCTTTTATTCTCATCTTGGACGGCGCGGCCGAGATGGTTGTGAACCTAGACATAGACGTTGCCGGCCTGGGGCTCTACGTCTTCCACAACATTTGCATCGTGGCGGGCGGGCTCAGGACTCCCTGGCTCGCCGCCCAACAAGGTTCCTTGCGGTCGTATAACGAGAGAGCTGTTCAGCGGGATATTGGCCGGCTTTATATCGCGGTGTGCGACCGGTGGTTCGAGCGCATGGAGACATCGAAGGGCGGAGAGCAGTTGGCAAAGGACTTGGGTGTTTTCGAACGTGGACAGATCAGTGTACTTCTCGAGGTCACCTCCGGGAACATACTTAAGCCTTAGCTGAAGATGAGGCAAGTAAGAAGGGCCGAGGAATTCCACAATGTGGTCCTAGTGTGTTTAGGATATCAGCACGACATTGAAGCCACTTTTATGATGCTCCTGTGAGGAACTTGCGAGCAGCACTACTGTAGTACTTACATAAGAGATGCTCCCCATAATCCGGGCCTCCTTCTTCCAAATGTCCATATCGACTTGACCTGTTGCAATATACCCCTTCTTAGTTCCGTTATTGCGTATTCCTCGCCAGTTGTCACATTCCAAGCGTATGTGACCACACCCAAGCCTCCGTGCCAGGTATTTTCTTATAGAGAATGGTGCGCAAGGAGTTCAATGGCGTAGGTACCTGAGAAGGGAGTGCAGTGCTTTGGCAGCTTTGTAGAACAAGTGATTCGGAGAGATTCTTGGAATCAGCTGTGCCGTTGCGAAACTTTGATACCCAATCGACGTGGTCCGAGGACGTGGTATCGCGGAGGGGAACAACATTTTGTAATATGAAAACGGGCGGTTTGTTGTTGAGAATGCTAGGACCTTGTAGAAGCCAGTCGAATTTCGACTTGCGTTGTGCGTTATCCCGCCATAGGCAGCCCGTATCCCATATGCGGAACCCAGATCCCTCCCTTACTAAAAGTCAGTTCTGGTCATCAAACATGAAGGCAAGGTGGAATCGATTGATGCCGGGCAGACTTGGAAGTAACAAGTCGACGTTGTCGTCGCAGCCGAGGACCACGCCTAGTCGACTCCCCGCACCGTGGCTGAATTGTACTTCTAAGGAAGGGCCGCCATGAAGACTTGGGATAAAATATGGATGAGCAAGAAGGTGCTCGCTGAAGTCGCCACTCGTCACGTCACAACGAAGATATGGTGTTGTTTCGATGTGCGTTTAGTGGATGACGTTGTCGCCTGGCTTTCAAACGTCTTCCGAAGGCAAGGATCGCCAAGTTCTGCGGGCTTCCACCAAAGAGCAATACCCTTCGCCTCTATTAAATACGCCGAAGCTACCACTTACAACAAACAATTATATTAAAATAACAGACACTACAAGGCTGAGGGCCGAAGGGGAAGAGAAACACTGTGAAACGTTCGAGGCTGAGCGTCCTACAGGCACTTAACGGAAACGTGTTGGTACAGAGAGTTTGTCTCTGCACAGAAGGCAGCTGAAGTTCATCCCACTCAAAGCTATATACAACAAAGACAAATGTCTTCTTTTAAACTCACGAAAGATGCGGACGAGCAATCAAATCTCTGCAAGTTGGAGGGACTTGCTTATTCTACAGGACATACCCTTCCCTCGTGCAAAAATGGAGTACATCTGTCTTTGACTCAAACCTATAAAGACCAGTATAATCTCTCGTATCCATCTTCGCCGCAGTATATTTCTCTAATTTCTATATCGTCTTTCTTTTATATTTTCTTTGTTCCGTTTCTTTCTTGGCAGGAAGTGGTTAGCACCTTCTGCAACTTTGCACTAGTCCGCTAACTGTTAACAGTGGCAAGAGCCTCCAACAACAGCGCCTCTGTCGTCACGGGCACCTAAAGTCCCATGCCGACGGTTGGAGAAAAAGTGGGTACTTCGCTCGCCTGCTAAGCCCTCCTGTTTGCGTGTCTCTCCGCAGCTTCAGGCATCTGGACCTCGGTATGTTCCCCATCAGCCGAACGGCCCCTCCTCCACAACGTGACATATTGTCCGCGGTCCGCTAAGAGTCAGGCGAGTCATTAGCAGCCCCATTTCGCTCTTTTGTGGCAGGAACGACGAGGCAGGAACGGCCAGTTTGCCATACACTCTTTCCGCGCCTTCTTTTATCTCTCACGACGCATCGCCTTCTCGTCTTTCGTGTTTTCTTCTTTGACGTACTTTTATTCCCGTTTTCTTCTTCTACCCATCCCGCCCAACCGACCACTCCTCCACACTCCAGCGTACCGCCACAATGCCGTTCAACACTGAGCTCACCAGACGGCTCGGGATTACCGGTATGCTTCACTTGGACGGCGTCCCTCCATTTGTCAGAAAATCCAGGACAAAGACACCATCAAACAATTAATGCTGACTCGATACTCTTCTTTGCGATACAGTCCCCGTCGTCCAGGGCGGTATGATGCATGTCGGTACGTGAACATCTGAACATTCTCCTTCTCCAATTCGCTGCGAGCAGCCATGCATTTTGCATGTGACTGCGGCAAAATCGCAAAATGACGTCGCAACGAACGGCGCGACAACGCGACGACGCGCCGACGTCACGGCGCCGACACTCATGCCCGGATACAAACAGCTAACATTCTCCAGGCTACGCCGAGCTGGCGTCCGCCGTGTCCAACGCCGGCGGTCTCGGTATTATCACGGCTCTCATCTTCAAGACGCCCGAGGAGCTCCGCGACGAGATCCGCCGGTGCCGCACCATGACCAACAAGCCTTTTGGCGTCAACATCACCCTGCTGCCGTCGCTTGTCCCGCCCAACTACGCCGCGTATGCCCAGACGGTCATTGACGAGGGCATTAAGGTTGTCGAGACCGCCGGCAACAGCCCCGGCCCCGTCATCGCGATGCTCAAGAAGGCCGGCATCATCATCCTGCACAAGTGCACGACCATCCGCCACGCCCTCAGCGCCGTCAAGCTGGGCGTCGATTTCTTGTCCATCGACGGCTTCGAGTGCGCCGGCCACGTCGGCGAGTCCGACATCACCAACTTTATCCTGCTGAGCCGTGCGCGGCAGACGCTCAAGATCCCCTTTTTGGCCTCGGGCGGCTTTGCCGACGGCCAGGGCCTGGCGGCCGCGCTGTGCCTCGGCGCCTGCGGCATCAACATGGGCACGCGCTTCATGTGCACCGTCGAGTCGCCGATCCACAACAACATCAAGCAGGAGATTGTCCGGGCGCAGGAGACCGACACCGCCCTGGTGCTGCGCCGTTGGCGCAACACCACGCGGCTGTACCGCAACAAGGTGACGGAGGAGGCGCTCAAGGTCGAGCACGAGAGCAAGTCGGGCGAGTTCTCCGAGATTGCGCCGTTTGTGAGCGGCGCGCGTGGCCGCCAGGTGTTTATCAACGGCGACCCCAACTACGGTGTCTGGACGGCCGGCCAGGTCATTGGCCTGATCCACGACATCCCGACGTGCGATGTGCTAGTAAAGCGGATTGCCAAGGAGGCCGAGGAGTCGCTGCGGGAGAAGCTGTCTCTACTGCAGCCGGAGAGCAAGTTATAAGCCAACAACTGGCAACGTGTTTTGTTTGCTGGCCGAGAAGCTGAGCGGGCGAAGCGAGCGTTTTTCGTTTTCTGTCGCATATGCAGCCGCACACCGAGAAAGGGTGGATGGCGGTGGTGTCACAATTTTGAAGCAAATGCTGGTGCATATTCCGATGCATCTATCCTGTAACTATACCAGTACTACGTACCGGCCCATTAGACAAAGAACAAAACAGATCTGCCATAACCTTACCATTGTGCATATGCTCGTCCCAATTGGCGTCCAACTATGCCGTCTTGTACAACGTAGAAGTCCTGTTCTGCAGGCAGAATGTGGCCCTGGTCGGAGCCGAGATCTTTCGCACGAGGAGATTCCAAGACCAAACGCCAACCAGATGTATCGTTTTCGCCATGTGCCTACTGACGCAGCCGAGATTGCGGAGGACTATGCAATTGCAAGCGGTTTGTGTAACGCTGACGAGACGAGACAATAAACCGGGTATCCAAAACCAAGGCATTTGTGAGTCCCAGGGAGAAGGGCTGTTCCACGTGGATATGTAGAACAGATAAGTTTGAAACCAATCACGAAAGTAGCAACATCTTCCCAAAACAAACGCCATCGAAAGACAGATCACGCTGCGCCTAGGGAAGGTCGTGGCGGCGGCACACCACACACAGGCCACTCAATTGCTAACCAAGGCTGATAGCTCGTGGGTTTGATGAAGCCATTGACGATTATTTTATGAAATTAGGAAAATGAACCGTTTTCAGTCCGGATTTGCCCATCGTGCGATTCGACGATCGATTGTCAACTTTGTGTTGGTGGCGCATATCGCTGCAGCATACATATGCACGCTCGGCAGCCACCGCCAACAGGGTACGGAGTAATTACCGCGTCTGGCATGCGATTGGAAGACCAGAGGCACGTCTGGACTGAGAATCATATCGATGCAGATGTAATACGACATCGGTCACGGCGGCATCAGTCAAGGTGGCAGAAGCACGCTGACATGTGCAAAGTGAGAACCCCCCCCCCCCCCCGAAAAAAGGGGGGAAAAAAAGAGAAGAAACCAATAATCTGCCTCAACCCACCAAACGGTCACGAGGTAATGAGTGGACAATGTGACCGGTCTATCGATAGCAGTCGTTGGGCAACTTTTAGTGGGCGGGGGATATGACTGTGCTTCCGTATGGCCCCATTTTGGCATTTTAGTGGGGGTGCGGTCTCGCCCTACTAGACTTGGACTATTTCGTACTGGACAGACACGGACTCAGCGAGCAAGAGCAGGCCCCACCGCCCAACACACCCCGCTGAACACTGGCACTTGGGACTTCTGGCGGACGCACAGGAACGGCATGGCTCAGCACTCTAAATTGGATAGGCGCAACCACTACGTCGCCCGCTAAAAGGCCTGGATGGGAAAGGCACGCGCGCACCATTCAATCGTTTCCTACTCCGTAATACAGCGCAATTACTATGTCGTGTACGTATCTTACTTGCACATACTCCGTAATTACATTTCTGCCTCCAGAGGGCTGTAGAGGCCAACTTTTGCGGAGAACGACTGCTAGGGCGGCACTTTACGCCCCATGCAGCACAGGGCAAAGGCCCAGAACGAGATCGGTGCTTGGCGCGCCCACTATTGCGCTCTCTACAGGGTTATCGTCGCTATCAGGAAGCTTGGCCCCCTCACCGTTCCATTCTCTCGTTGCTTCTTTCCCTCTTTTCTCGCATGTCTCTCACCCTCTTTCCTTTTCTCTCCACGCACTTTCCTCGCAGTGCTTCTTCATTCTGTCTCCTTGATTGCCTTGGAAAGGAAG